TGTGATCACATGCTTAAATTAAGTCTTCGCTTCTTGGATGAAGAGTAAAAATATCAAGTAATATCACAGACGTCAGCAACGATAAAAAGACACATGCCTATCACCTGCGCTTCAACATCATAAGCAAATCGTCAAAACGGCGAAACAACATGCATACAGGTATACATATTACAATTCCGCAGGTCCCAGCATAGAGACACCCTGCACTTTTTCACTACTTCAGCACACGGTACACATTTGCCATCGGTACACCGGGTTTTGTATTTAAGACTCTACCCTTCGCTCTTTCTATGAATATCCCTTCTTTAATCTTACGTTTCCTCCAGTCTGTTTCATACGCCAGAATTTTGACATTTTCCCATAGGATGGAGTGACCGGTTTCAATGACGTGCTTTGAAATGCCAGAGTGGTTGTCGTCCATGTTCCGTATCGCTCTCTTGTGTTCAGCTTCCCTAGCCCTTATACTTCTACACGTCTCCCCAATATAAACCTTGTTACATTCACACTCATATTGGTAGACTACCCCAGTATTTTGAATTTTTTCCCGCTTGTCCTTTGGTCTAACCAGCATGTTCCGCAGGCTCTGTCCTGGTTTTGAAGTTACCCTTGCGTAGGGTTTCAACGACCTAGTTATCCTTTCTGTGACCCCTTGTACGTAAGGCAGAACAACAAGCGGCTTCTCCTCTCGCTGTTCCCCTGTTGGCCTACTCCTTTCTCTGGTCATCTTCCTACGCGTAGCCTGTATGAAACTTTTTGGATAGTTGTTCACTTTTAAAGCTCTTTGTATGCGTTTTGTTTCTTCGGCTTTATCGCTCTCGTCTGTTGAAAAGGTCTCCCCTCGTTTTATAAGTGAGCGAACTACCGACTCTTTGTGTTGCACGCTGTGATGAGACTCAAAATTTAGATAGTTATCAGTATGCACCGCTTTTCGATATACCGTCGTTTTGACCGAACCGTCTATTTGCCGCCTGACCTCGACGTCCAAAAATGGTAAGGTACTGTCACTTTCCTTTTCTACCGTGAAATGAATGTTGTCATTCTGACAGTTCAAATGATCATGCAAGGGGTCCACGTCGGTACCACTGATGACCACGAATGTGTCATCGACATACCGTTTCCATACCTTCACCGGTTGAGCAAAGGACCTTAGAGCTGACTGCTCCAATTCCTCCATGAAAAGGTTCGCTACAACTACACTAACCGGACTTCCCATAGCGGTTCCTTTCATTTGTTTGTAGCACTCCCCATTTACCTGAAAGTATGTTGTATCTAAACATAATCTAAGTAGAACTAGGATGTCATCTACCTCCATCCCCGTATTGGCTAAAACGACGCTGTCACCCTTCTCGTCCTCGGCCTTCAACCTTTTCTGAACTATTTCACAAGCTTCATCCGTGGGAACTGAAGTGAACAGCGACTGAACATCGAAAGATACCATGACGTCATCCTCGCTGATAGTCAAACCCTGGACGTACGTTACAAAATCTCTCATTGTACATTGTTAATTTTGATTCGATTCTATGTGTGTCTAACTGTCTAGGCTGAGGAAGAAAGCCGCAGTGCTTTCGAAAGCTACCATAAATAAAAAGTACCTGGTGTTTCGAATATTCGTCCTAAACATATTTCATTATGACTTGCCAAGATCTTTCCCTACTGTCTTATGCCATTTTTCATTTATTCACAGGTGCAATGCTGCATTGATAAGATCCAGATTCAAGAGCATGGATGCTACCAGATCCTGTGATTTGAAGTTACCAGTGTCACTGCTGCTACAAATGACATCAGCAATACTTCCTTTGGTGAAAGTTTAGAGGAGCAAACAGTTGGTGCTCTGTGTAGTCAAGCAGTGGAGTTTTGCCACAATCATGAAGTTGATTAAGGTGTCAATTTTTGATCTGGCTTCTGGGACACCTGGGATCTACATTGCAACCTATGCTAGTGTTCAACATTTCGTGTCATAGTATCACTGATGCAAAGCGTGTTGCATCATACACAAATGAGAGCCAGCAAATTGTCAGATATTTTCTAGTGATAGAGAACTGCATACCTTAAGCAATTGCTGAAGGTAATAAGTGGTGAATGGTAGGGCTCAGCCACTCAGCTCCTTCCTTCAAAAGCTATCAATCAGCTCTAGAAGAGTAGTCATAGCAATGCTTCATATGTGAAGGCTACTTGCCTGAACAGAACATTGTGGATTTGTTAATTAAGTACCTCTTTATTACAAGTTTGTGCCCATTACAAGCCAAGCTTAGTTTACTTAGTTTGTTGCAAGTTTTCCAGGCAGCCTTCACACTTGTGTCGCTGAATATTAAACTTTAACTGATAGACCGACGAGATATTGTCCCTTTCGCATCAGATTGTAATCAGTCAGTCGTGTTGGTAGAAGGTACAGTCTGTCTTAAAAGTACCGCGCAAAGTGACGGTGGATCCATCAAGCCTGACCGAGGAAGGGCCTGCTATAATTTGAAAGTCACCGAACCAATTGACCTGGGGAACGGACGAGGATGTCATATAGAGCCACGCAGAAATCGCCGGTGATTCGTTGCCCATCATTACAGAATGAACGCATGCCGGATGAAGGGTTAAGTCAATAGTCTGTACAAACTACAGGGATGTGATTGACTTATCTGACAGTGACGAGCGCTAGTGGTCAACTTAAGACCGTATGCGTTCTTGTCATGGAATGTGTGCTGTAAATCGATTGTTTCATGCGTGTGAATATATGTCTGAATGTAATAAGGTTTTTAATTTCAACTGTCTAAGTTAAAATATGTGATAACATCGCATCTTTCGTACTCCGTAGCTTTTGGTGACCATTCGATCAGCTCCCTTTCCTTCCGCTCAATGACGATTGTATTGTATTGTATTGTATTTACGATCATGGACGATCCACACATGTAATAGTTTGCCTTTCACACGCGTCATTGTCTTCCTAATATCGAAATCAACTGTAGCTACTTATTTTAGCAAAATGATGAACCTGAAAAAGACATGAAACGCAGTTTCCGTTCGCGGCGCGTCGGCCGCCGTCGCCGCCCGCAGTGTTATCCCCGGCCCGGCCGGCGCCCGGCCGGCGCGTTGTGTCCAAAGCATACCGTGCTGCCACCTGGCGAGACTTTTCGGAACTCTTAGCGCGAACATCCCCATTCAGCAGCAACGAATATCAGCCTCACAGCAGCATATTTCGGGGTCTTTCGATTTGGCTGAAAATCGGTATACAGGGCCTCCTCGATGCGCTGATTCCAAAAATGTACCTCTTTGGAGTGGTATTTTGCACCGTTAACGAGTTAACGACCAATTAACATTTTAACGGGAAACGGCGGGGTCTTTCGATTTGGCTGAAAATCAGTATACAGGGCCTCCTCGATGCGCTGATTCCGAAAAGGTACCTCTTTGGGGTGGTATTTTGCACCGTTAACGAGTTAACGAGCGATTAACATTTTAACGGGAAATGGCGGGGTCTTTCGATTTGGCTGAAAATCGGTTTACAGGGCCTCCTCGATGCGCTGATTCCGGAAATGTACCTCTTTGGGGTGGTATTTTGCACCGTTAATGAGTTAACGACCAATTAACATTTTAACGGGAAACGGCGGGGTCTTTCAATTTGGCTGAAAATCGGTATCCAAGGCCTCCTCGATGCGCGGATTCCGAAAATGTACCTCTTTGGGGTGGTATTTTGCACCGTTAACGAGTTAACGACCAATTAACATTTTAACGGGAAACGGCGGGGTCTTTCGATTTGGCTGAAAATCGGTATACAGGGCCTCCTCGATGCGCTGATTCCGAAAATGTACCTCTTTGGGGTGGTATTTTGCACCGATAACGAGTTAACGACCAATTAGCATTTTAACGGGAAACGGCGGGTTCTTTCGATTTGGCTAAAAATCAGTATACAGGGCCTCCTTGATGCGCTGATTCCGAAAAAGTACCTCTTTGGGGTGGTATTTTGCATCGTTAACGAGTTATCGGCCAATTAACCCGCGCCCGGCTGGGGGTCCTGGATTTCCACGCCCTGCTGGGGGGTGTCTGAACACCCCCCCCCCTTCTAACTCGGCTCCTGGGCCACGTAGCGATACGCGGAAGACGGCGTTCGAAAGAGCGTCAAAAATAATGAGGAAATCACTTCGGTCAATTTTTTGGTCAGGTCAAAGGTCAGGTCACCAGAGGTCATTGAAGGCAAAATTTCGCCGATTTCCAGGTCGAATGTCGACAATTTCCAAGATGCCGACGCATAACTCGGGAACCAATAGAGCTACAGCGCCGCGGAAAAGCGCATTCGATAGCCCTATTAACGCCCTTTCTGAGTAATTATCTCACATTCGACCTAACGTCAACGGTTTTGCCTGCAGGGGACAAAAACTGCAAAAATAGCCGATTTTTTCGGTAACAGTTTTTCTGCAGTAAGTTTTGACCCAAGCCTTGCACGAGCTTACTTTTACCGGCATCGTGTTCCTCTCGTCAAGACGCATCGAATGAACTATAACTTGACCTTGAAAGGTCAACTTGAAAATTTGACCCCAGGTCAAGGTCATGACCTGACCTGAAAGGGTCATATTGCATATCAGTCGATCCGTATCGTCGAGCTGAACACATCTAATGCGTTTTCATCGCTCTAGCATGCCTCTATCAAAAGTTATTTGCGAAAAACTGTTAGATACCATTCGTGACCTAAGATGACCTCAGGGCATAAACAGGGGTCACGGACACCATTTTCATGTTCAGGGTGTCTAAACCACTTGTAATTCAGTGTTTGGGAGTGTTTATAATGTCTTTCGTCCAAAAGAGGCGCATTTCAATTTTCTCCCATTGACTTATAATGGGGAGGTCGCAAAACTGACCTGACCTTAGGTCATCGATATCAAAATTCTGAGATATACATTCTGTACGTGCTATTACTCTTAGCAATCGCTGAAAGTTTCAAAGCGATCGGTCACTCGGTGTAGCTATGACGGACATTGAAACTTTTTATGAGGTGTGGTCACTTCAAGTGACCTGGTGACCTGACCTTGAATGACCTTGGTCTGAAATTTTTACAACATGTGTAGAATTGATGTATGATAAGGTGTACCAAAAACGGCGACGCGGAGCGCCGCCGTTTGGGCGTTTTTTGCGGCGCCGGAGGGCGTTTTTTGCGGCGTTTTTTGCGTTTTTTTCTGCGGTTTTGGGCGGGCGGACGATTGTTTTTTTTTGGCGAAATTTGCGTTTGCGTTTTGGGCGTTTGTTTTGCGGTGTTTGCGTTTCGCGGCGGGCGGGCGTTTTTTCACAATTAAAGTCCCAACCTTCGGATCCGCAGATCCATTCTACATGAAATATGTAGGAATGGCAAGAGAGATGGGTAAATAAGCTAAATAGGTTGCAGGATTTATTAGCACCAAACAGGTCAGAAAGTAGAAGTTCAAACAATCTTACAAACTACACCAGAGAAAGTCTTTGAATTAGGCACAAAATTATGCCACAGAAATAAAAACAATGCAGTTTTGTAGAGCATTTCCCAAAAGATAATTGTGATTCAGCCTTGCTCCCATCTGAGATTGAATAAATACAAATTATGAGGTGAAAGTTACTAAAAAGCAGTTTTTTTTTAAAGAAAACAGCTTCAATCCATGTTTGCCTGATTTCAAACTAAAGGCAACATCGCATAGCTTTGACAGCATGAAATTTCATTATTGAGGTTACAATTTCCATAATCTTGTCACAAACAGTGCACTTAATATGGATAACTAACACCAAATCAGCCAACCTTGTATCTTTATCTGGTGTAACTCAAGAAACCAATAAAGCAAACAATTTCTGAGCAAAACATTTAGGTATTTGACAAGCTCGACTACTGCCATGCAGCCTTATGCTCGTTGTTACAGATTAAATACCTACTTTTCAAATATAAATTTGGTAGTTCAATATATAATGAAATACCCAGCTCAATAGAGGCAATTATGATAATGACAGCAGGTAAGCAAAGTAAAAACAAAATCAAATATTTCTTCTACAGAAAAAAGCACTTGTACCCACTCAACTTAATTTTACTAAATCACTTATTTGAATTATCAGTCATCACCAGACTTGCAAAAAACTTTCTAGATATTATAACACAAAAAAATAAACAAAGTGTCTGAAATTCCACAATATAAGCACCAGCCACTGGAGCGGTATGATGGGGTCTCGTAACTTGAACGTTCGGTCTGTAAGAGCATGCCTGACTTGACTTAACGGCTTTGAGACATCGCCTTTGCAGCAGCTCCTCCTATTCTTTTTTAAGATAAACTTAAACTATCATTACCATGCTATGATGATGAGGTGGCTGGTTTCGGGCGCATGAAAAGTAGCAGCCCTTCTTTCATTCTATTTCCTTGTTTTCACATGCTGCACAAAATGTTTTTTCTTCCACGTTCCTTCTGTCATTATAAAAAATAATAGGTATCATAATTGCTTCACTTCTTCTTTATATTCCAAGTATTGCTGCTGCAATTCATCGCATCTCCCGTTAGTAAACCACTGCCCTATGGCTGCTAAAGTAAATAAGTGGAATGCGCCAGAAATTGTCAAAATCGCGCCAAAATAGCAAACTAAGATGAGAAAAAATAACCGCACCCGTAATTAACGCCAAATATTTTATCAAGTTCTTGATATCAGTGGTGTAAACTACGCACAAAGATGTTGCGTGAATTTGAATTAATTATCGGGGTTACATGAGCACAGTAAATACGTATTTAGCCGCTAATGCGAATTAGGAACGCATTACCGACTCATGTAGCCACCTGCTAGTACGAATCGGCGATCCGAACCGCGGTTACATCATACATGAGCAAAGCAAATACGTATCACGATCGGATTCACCGCTAATGCGAATCAGGAACGTACTACCGACTCATGTATCCACCTGCTAATACGAATCGGCGGTCCGAACAAAATCCGCTGAGAAAGCAGGCTTAGGAGCGAATAGGACCAAGATACGTATGACAGGAACTATTACTTACTAAAAAGAAGCCTTAACCCTAGAACGCCTAGGGGGGGGGGGTTGTATCAACCCCCCCCCCGTGGTTTTTTCGAAGTGCACGCTAAACGGCTTGTCGTAGCGGGCTGAAATTTTCAATACCCTCTGGGGCAACCTTTGCGCATCTTTTGCCGAAAAAAAATTGATCGGGTCATGTCAGGTCACGGAGTTATGACGTCATAAAGGGAACAACCTCCGGCCAGATTTACGCTAAATTGGAGATTGCTTCACATTGGTATAAATGCCGACTGACCTGACACACTGATGGATTGTTTTAGAACCATAACTGGCTGATTTGACATTGGCACAATGTCCGTTGACCTTTTCAAGGTTACTTAAGGTCAAGGTCAGGTCAGTGACCTCGGTTGACCTGTAATGACTTCTTGCACTTGTATGCCTTTTCGGGGTATTTTGATGCCCTGAATTCGAATTTGCTATCCATTTCAGGCATCGTCGGTTGTTTCTTGTAGTTCATTTTGGGTCAGGGTCAGGTCAGTGACGTCACACGCCTGACGTGACCCAATGCACAAATGACCTTGCAGACTTCCGATGCTCCCAACGCATCATTTTTAGAGTTATGACATCGAAATACGCACCAAACGATAGAGAATTGATCAAGGATCACGATAGTGAAGGTTTCAAGTCGATATCTCTTACCGTTTTGCCGCAATCGGCGCGGAAATCTGAAAAAGTTAGATTTTTCCGAAAATTTGACCTTTGACCGGTCATAAGTAGGTCAAATGTTGACCTAGGACCAAAAAATATACCACCAATCGCGAGATCTCGTTGAGAGCAATCCGTTGGTTTTTTCCGCTAAGCTCTACGACCTTCCGTTTCGAAACGCCAGGGGGGGGGGTCGTAACAACCCCCCCCCCCTGGTCGTTCGTGTTATGAGAAATGGCCTGGTCGTGCGAGGGTTAAAATGAAAAATACAAGGTATTTTGTCATTTGTTGCTTTTGAAATCAAAAGTTAAAAAATATTTAGGTATTTTGTCAAGTTTTCAAAATAAATTAAATATGGTGATGAAATTGACCAATAACATGGCAGTAAGATGTATTTTTATAAAACAAAATAAGGCCGAAAATATAGAACGAGCTTTCGTCTTACGACATCATCGGGTTCTGGTCTAGCCGAGGCAATCACATTTGAAAAATTGAAACGGAACCAAATATTCACAAGAGCGGGTCTCCGCCACGACGCGATCTTTACGTCAAGCTACAAGCTACAAGCTCAACCTACCTTTTATCCGCTTTGCCGGGCTGCAACAGAACGGGGCCGGTTTGGCACGTTCTGTTGCCTTTCTTCTGACACCCGTCAGTCCTTCCGCTGCTGCGGGTAGCCTCGGAGTGGGGCCGGCTCGGCACGCTCCGGGGCATCGTCTTCTCCTCGACTTCTTCGAGGTCTTCCGCTTTTGCGGGCTGTACCGGAGCGGGGCCGGCTCGGCACGCTTCGGTACCTTCTTCGAGTCGTCCTTCTTCGCTGTCCTCGGTGCGGGGCCGGTTCGGCACGCCCCTGGCAGCCACGGTGTCCTCTCGCCGTCCACGAGAAGACACTCCTGGGACCGCTGTGAACTACTTCTTCGCCGTCCGCGCCTTCTGACCTGACATCTGAGACCGGCCATCTGAGTACGGTTGCCTTCTGAGGCACTCTCTGCTCAACCAACGATCTTCGGCTTCCCACTCCCCCTCCCCCGCTGATTTTGACACAGATTCCCTTAGATTCCACCTTTTCATTCAGTGCGCCACCCCTGTAGGCCCACCCATTCGGTCTGGGTTCAAAATTTCTAGTTCCACTGTCGTTAAGCACCTTGCTGGTTTAAAGGACAGGGCTTATCGATACTGCCCCCTCTTGCCGACAGTGACGTCCCTGATAGCTCATAATCATGTCCCGTACCTTCCCCCCCTCCCAACCCTCCCATGGTGAGTCGGGGCGGTGGCTTGTCCTGCGGCGCACGGACAAGCGGGAGGTTAAGCTGATATCTCCGTGGGTCACCGAGAACAGCATCACCAACCACATGAACACGTCTCTCAACATCACCTCATACAAGCTCCAGGCCGAGCTCTCTGACAAGGGCACCGCCCTATACATACACACGACGACACACCAGGAATCCGAGGCACTGCTCAAACTGACCAGCATTGGAGCCATCCCGGTCGAGGTCAAGGACCCCATCACACGTGTCCAGGGGTCCATCTGGGCCCCAGAGCTCGACATGCTCGATCCAGCCGACCTCCTCGAGGGCTTCGGTCCTCAGGGGGTCACAGCGGTGTTCCGGCCGCCGCGAGGGCCTAAAGCTATCCTGCACCTGACGTTCAGTGGTAGCTCCCTCCCTGACCGCGTCACGGCAGGATACCTGTCCTACAGGACCCGCCTGGTCGTGCCGAAGCCCCGGCGCTGCCGCCGCTGCCAAAAGTATGGACACGGCGAGGCCCAGTGCCGGGGACATGAGGTGTGTGGCCGCTGTAGCGGCCGCCACTCGACCACTGACTGCACCGCCACCCATCCGGCCTGCCCCGCTTGTGGTGGAAGTCACGAGGCGTCCCATCGGGACTGCCCCAGGTGGCTCCAGGAGATGCAGGTTGCCACTCTCATCCATCGGCAGCGCATGCCCCCGAAGCAGGCGCGAGCCATGGCCAGCCGGGACTTCGGGTTCCAGGCCCCTACACCTCGCCGTCGCCTGGCCGAGAGCCCGCCGAGGCCCAGTGATCTCAAGGCGTTCCCTCCACTGTCCTCTGAGGACGAGGAGGGCAAAGCTGCCGACTCTCCCGTCACTCCGGCCACGGTCCGGAAAGCCCCTCGCCCTCCCCCCGAGCGCCGCAGCAGCAGCGAGAGCAGCTGCTCGCCGCCAGCGACCACCGACACTGAGGGCGAGGAGGATCAGCCGTCCTCCTCCAAGGAGCCGGGGACAGACACAGAGTCTTGGGCAACCGTCAAGCCCAAACGCCACTCAAAAGCGAACCAGCCCAGGCGGTCCACAAGAGCCACCCGGGGAGCCAAACCCAACACACAACACACTGAATAATATTCATGACCACGTCTCAAGTAGACACACACGACACAGTCATCATTCAATGGAACACTAACGGACTAATCTCACACTGGCACGAGTTCAAACAGACACTGAAAACACTAGACCCACACATCATATGCGTCCAAGAAACCCATCTCAAACCAACAGACCCCTCTAACTTCAAAGTACACCCATTCACCCTCCTCCGTAAGGACAGCACAGTCACCTCTCCACACAGACGAGGAGGAGTGGCAACATACATCAAACACAACATACCACACCAACTGCAAAAATACAACACACAATCCGACATACAATGCATTAATATCTTCATCAGACAGAATCCTATCACACTCATTAACTGCTACTTTCCTCCATGCGCAGACATGGAGGACCAGTTTTTTGATGACCTCACAGCAGTATTGGATAACACTACCACACCAGTCATACTCTGTGGTGATTTCAACGCTCACCATCCACTTTGGGAACAAGCCTCTACCAACAACACAAGAGGGGCAAGGCTACACACACTCTCTCACAACCACAACCTGACATGCCTCAACACAGGGGAAGCAACTTTCCCGGGGCGCTTTATCCCACATCAAGACACCACCCCGGACATTACATTCACGTCTCACGCACTGGGCCTTACCACACAATGGCAGGTCATCCAGGACACTTTTTTCAGCGATCACAACCCCATTAAAATTCACATAAACGCGCACAACAAAACTCACGCTCCTCTACCCAGATGGAACCTGCGTGGTGCCAACTGGTCAGAGTTCACCAACTCACTGGAACAAGTCACAGACTCAACAGACATCACTGACTTCACTGAACAAATGCTAACTGCAGCACACACTAACATACCCCGCACCAGCTCCAAACAAGAACAGAGACGGGTCCCATGGTGGAACACCGACTGTGCTGACGCTATAGCTATACGCAACAGGGCTCGACACCGACATCAGCGCTATAGAACCCAAGACACTCTACAAGAACTTAACAAAGCAAAAGCACATTGTCGCAGAGTCATCAAACAAGCAAAGCGCGACACTTGGTCCACCCACATCAACCAGTTCAATAGGCATACACCGCTCAGCAGAATATGGACACTAACCAGAGCCTTCAAAAACAATAAGTGCACTCTAAACAAAGCAGTGGTGGTCACTCACAACAATCTGACTATAACTGATCCACAGGAAATCACAGACGTTTTCGCGCAACACTACGCCCTGCGATCCAGTCAACTGCCGAGTCCAATCCCACCCATAGCAGAGTTAGCACCTACAAACACGCATAACCAACCCATTACAATCCAGGAGCTTGACGATGCCATAACGAAGGGTGGAAATACAAGCACTGGACCTGACAACATACACTACAGCTTCTTGAAGCATCTAGGCCCTCAGGCACGCTCTCAACTCCTAAACGCACTCAACACTGCCTGGCAATCACACGATTACCCTGAAAATTGGTTCCACGCTCACATTATACCTATTCTAAAACAACACAAAGACAGCAATATCCTGGATAACTTCAGACCCATATCCTTGACAAGCTGCATACATAAAACATTTGAACGCATCATTCAGGTCAGGCTCCTCCATCACATAGCCTCACACAACATCCTCTCCCCAATCCACTCGGGTTTTCTCCCAGGCAGAAGTACAACAGACAACCTCGTCCGACTCACAGGAGACATCCAAAACAGCTTTGCAAACAAATCATGCACTGTCGCTCTCTTTCTTGACATCAAACACGCGTACGACACACTGAACATCACTGCACTCCTGACATACCTTCGAAAGATAGGCATTACAGGACATCTTCTCGCATACCTGAGCAACTACCTAATCAGAAGAACCTTCAAGGTCAAACACCTCACATACACGTCCGACACGCAATATCCCACTACAGGACTCATGCAGGGCTCAGTCCTCAGTCCAATCCTTTTCGTAATAGCGCTCAACTCACAACTCAACGGCAATCCGAGCTTCGTTAAAATAGCCACATACGCTGACGACATCGCAATATGGACCACACACAAACACCTTAACAATGCTCTGGCACGACTCGACTCAGCATTCAACACTGTGCAACAAAAACTCTTAACACTCAACCTGCACATTTCCCCTCAAAAAACGCAATGTATTGCCTTTGGCAGATTTGACACTTCGTCCGCCACACCGCTCTGCCTCAATAACACACCGATTCCTTTTAAGACCACTGCAAAGTTCCTTGGCATAACCTTTGACAAACACCTAAGTTTCAAACATCATTTCACAGACATCACAACTCGGGCACTAAGGAGAGCCAACATCCTCAGAGCACTAACGAGCACAGAATGGGGAGGTGACAGGGCCACACTCACACGGCTGTATGAGGCTGTGATCAGGCCCATTCTTGAGTATGGATCACTCACATTCGAGAACGCCTCCCCCACACAATTGCGCAGACTCGACACTGTACAGAACCAATGCCTCCGCACAATCACTGGAGCCTTCAGAACAACGCCAATCACAGCGCTCCATGTATACAACAACACACCACCACTCCACTACAGAAGGACAGAAGCACTATTTCGCTATTTTTTCAGAATCCAACACATTCCATGCCATCCCTGCATCCACATCATACACCGAAGAGCACATCCACGATACAACTCTAGAAACCGCTCGCGACGCAAAATCACACTGGGCGGGCGTCTCGCACAACATTCTAACACATTCAATCTTAAACTCCCCACGGCACACCCAAAATTACCCCTACCACCACACTGGACAGGAACAAAGCCCACAATACATCACCTGATCGCCCAACCAAAGCACACACTCACCGACACTGAGATACAGCAAGCATTCTTTCACTACACACACGAACAACAGGCAATCCACATAATATACACAGATGGCTCAAAGCAAAACCAACTGACTGGCGCCGCAGCCATTCTCTGCACAGCTAACAATCAACCTATAGTCACCTTCAGAGCCCGGCTCCCTGACGACACTTCAATATACACAGCCGAACTCTTCGCAATTTACACGGCCTACACCACTATTCAAGACAGGGATCTGCAGAACACAATCATTGCCACGGACTCAAAATCTGCTTTGACTGCAATTCAACACACTACAATGACACCGACACATCCAATCATCCACAACATACTCGATATTCACCAACAACTCGACGCTCTACACCAACCAACACTGGTCTGGCTCCCCGGGCACGCTGGCATCATGGGCAACACCAGGGCCGATCATGAAGCGAAACGGTCCCTCAATCAACAACACACAATGCAAATTCCACTAGCAAACAATGACTACCACCCAGTTATCACCAAACAACTGCATGCACACTACCAAGAGATATGGAACAACACACGCACGGCACTTCAACGCATCCACCCACGCATCGAGCCATGGCAAACAACAAATCTTGACTCACGAGCACATGAAAGGGCACTTACACGACTCAGAACAGGCCACACGTACATCACACATAAAGCCTTGTTTGAGGGCTCGGCCGAGAGCGAATGCAACCACTGCAATACAGTTATCACAATCCAACATCTCCTCATCAACTGCCCACTTTATCAACAACAACGAACGCCAATCACAACATACTGCACACAAAACAACATACCACTGACACTCCAAACACTTCTCGGTGACTCACATCCGGAGGCCATCAGCTTGCTCCTAACATACCTGCATCAAACAGGTATTATACGTATCTTGTAAATCCTGGTCAGATTGCCGAGGGAAAAAGAGGCAAAAAAGAAAAAAAAGATAAAAAAAAAATATTTTAAAGAAAAGAAAAGAAAAAAGAGAGATACCAAAAGTAAAAGAAAAGAACAAAGCAAAAAGATCAAATGAGAAAAGAAAAGAAAAAAGCCAACAGCTCACAAAAAAAACAAACGGCAAACAAAGGCACTGGCCAGGATCCCCATTGTTCCCCCCCCCCCAACCGTCCCAAACCCCACCCTAACGACAACTCTGTATGGGCTGTAATCACCCTTCTGTGGAAGCCCAAAAGCCGACAACTTCAATTCAATTCAATTCAATTCAAATATTCACACGTGCACATTGGCCCAGATGGCTTTTGGAGGTCATGTAGCAACGCGCATTGCGCAATTGAGGCGTACACTTAACAAAACTAATACAAATATAGGTACAAATAGATACAATATTTAAACAAGAGCAGACCGCAGCACGCTCGCCGTCACATTCCACTATACATCACACACCACACACACATATACCAATATTTGTCCATACAGATATGTGGACTGAGGTCATATAGGCTACACAAGTATCCTTACAGTTTTCATAGTATACTACATCGTATACCAGTGGTCATCTAGAACTAGACTACACAAGTGTGTGTGTGGGGGGGGGGGGGCTGTGTGTTTGTGTTGGTTGCTTGCATGTTAAAACCTAGTGTGTTAAAGGCCAAGAGCTTTGCATTGTGTTTTTTTTTTGAATTTTGCATCCCCGCTAGCACAAGGCTATAGCAGGGGAAGGGAAGTTACTTGCTGGCATTTTTTTTTTTTGAATTTTGCATCCCCGCTAGCACAAGGCTATAGCAGGGGAAGGGAAGTTACTTGCTGGCAATTAGCCAGATCTTTTGTTTTACGTTAGGTTAATTGCCGGCTATTTTATTCCGGCCCAAGAGGCAAAGCAAAGACAAATTTTACGTTAGACCGGCTCATGTGGCGTCCGGTGGGTTGCAAAACAAAGGGAAGGCCGAAAAGGTGCCAGATAGGCGAAACCGATAAATTTGGTTACTTACATAGAGCTTGCTCCTGAGACTTGCTGCTGATTTGTGTGCTGTTGTTTGGTGTGTGTGCTGTTGTTGTGGGGTGAACTTTTACCAGGAAAAGTCCTAACTAGAAAAAACCTGGTGCCTATTTAAGAGGGCAAAAACCTGTGCGTTCAGCCAAAGTACACAGTAAAAAGCCCTTTCTTTTGATTACGTTACGTTATATCACTAGAAGTGGCATTGTA